AGTTAGCTTAATCTTGACTTGTCGTTGCAAAAGAAATCTTGTTCAGTACGAGAGGAGCCACAGAGGCTTTAATTGGAGCGGATCTGCAAATATCTCAACCTTTTTTGATTTTAACCATTTCCATTGTCTAGTTGAATTCATTGTATACATTTAAAATTTACATAAAACTAGATAGGAATCCTTTATCGTCGCAAAGTTTCAACAGTAAACTAACCTAACCGAACCTAACCTAAATCTATTGTCTTTTCGTATTGTTCAAACAATGAATTTTTCATGGTTACCTTAATGGCCAATTACAATATCCTAAAGTTTATTCTAGCTTTTTAAGTTGATCATCAACTCTCTTGTGTCCCTCAAATTAACTTGATTAAGCCAAATTCATCCTCTAATCCAGTTCATTTAACCATGGATTATTGATAAAAGCAAAGAGCTTTTCTTCAACCAGCAATAGTCTTCAACTTTTCTATCCAACCAAACGGCAAGAAAACTAGCGATATAAAATCATGCAATTTATAAGAAAACCATTGAAACCATTTTCCACTCTCCATTTCAACCTTAACCATTTACCTTTTCATCCAAATGATCCATGTTAAACAACAGTCAATTATTTCCTTTCGCTTACCTTTTGTTTCAAAACTTTATGGGTTAGGCTTTAAAGCGTGAGATGAACAAATGCAAGGTTACATATTACATGCATTACACTCACCATTAAAAAAGCACAAAGATATTGGGTCAAAGCAAAGCCTTACAACGGTAAAGTCTTGCGTAAAATGGCTAATCGCAACATTGAAAAGCGGAAAACAAAGATTAAAAGCAAATCCGCAAATCAAACCAACGATCAAAATCCAATGAAACATAACCCACTCATGAACCTAAAAAAATGTAAAGTTTATAAACTTTAATAAAGTCAACCTATTCAGTGATGGCATTATCTGGTTCACATCATAAACAAAAGATGAAAAAAGAAGGTGAAACAATGAAGTAAAAGTTGAACATCAACTCGCCATTTATTATCCAAGACTGACCCTCTAATCATTGTTAAACTTTTTAATTACTTATCAGAAGCTTCATCTCATTTCATCTTTTTTGTTGCCCTTTTTTACAAGTTTAAGATTAATTAGCATCATCATTTGCCCATCATCGTTATCATCAAAGAAGTGAATAGGATAAAGAGAGCAACAACAAAAAGCAACAAAACAAGGTAAACACACACCTTAATCTGTTGAACAGATAATCTTTGTGAGTTGAATGTATATTACCAAATTAATCTGCCCATTAAGCATGGCAAAGTTGACCCAAGGAAAGTAAATGTAAAAGTGTTTTCTCTCAGTTTTCCTCTAATCCGAGCATTCAGTCAAAATAGCAAAGATAAACTTTCCGGATATTCTCATGAATATCATCATGTAAACAGTTTTTTTATCATTTTTCAACATCAAAATCATTATCGTTGAACCTCTTTAAATTTTTTAATGTCATGATGTTGGATACAAATTGTAGTGCAAGCTGTTGAGTTGGAAATTAAAGTCAACTAAAAAAAAGTAAAGCACACGATAAGTTTGATGATCATTTAGATTTATATACTCAGAGATTCACACCTAAGTGGTGATGATGATGATGGAAATGAGAATAAAGTCGATAAAAAAAAGGTAAATGAGAAAAGTTGATAAACATTTGGTCATGATGGTGAAAAAAGTTGAGCTAAAATGGGCAACTTTTCTTCTTGTTTCGTCAATAAAACATATTCTTAGGTGCTATTTGGAATTAATTTTGCAACTTGTACAGCAATTATTTATCAAGGTAACAAGTAAGACCAGGTAACAAGTCACTATCAATTAATTTATCTGTTTATTTATCTCATGTTAATACACATTATTAACAACTTTTATTTCAGTTCCTCTTCTACTCACCTAACCTTACCTTCAACTCAAAAGGTAATATCATTTTCATCTTTTTTCCGTTTTTTATCATTTTCGTCTTTCCAAATGCAAGAGTCCATTTATCACTTGAAACAGTTCGTTGATCAAGAAGAAGAAACTCAATTCTGAAGACTTTTGTATCTTTAAAGAAAGATGAGTTTGATAAGGAAAAGACAAAAAACACAAAAATGGTTTCATTGACCAGAATGGACAACATTTATAAGACTAAAGAGATTAGTTGAATTGCGATTTTAAGTGATGAAAGCGATTCGATTTTTTGGCCTTTTGTTCAGTTTTGACACTAAATGCATAAGAAATGATGACATTGATTTCAATCATCATCATTATCTTTTCAACATTGAATAATATTGCGTGATTATGACAATTCCATTTCGACTGATGTTCTCTATACTTTTCTATTCTCTGGGCTAAAAGTTTTTTGCATTATCCAGGAAAAAGTCGAACTCATTTCTTATCACTTTTTGCCTGCTTTGCCTCTTCCTGTAGACACACTGATAAAGTGAAACATTGCCTAATGTGACACTTATTGGCGTAAAGAAACAAGGACAGTGAGAAGGTTATAAATGATACCAATTGAGAATATATGTTCAATTATTGAGAGAAAAAACGAATTTCTTTTCGACCTTTATGCTTCTTCTTATTGCCTTTTTTCCAGCTTATTATATGCATAAATAACAAATCAATGTTGATACTTTTTTTTGTTCAGATGATAATATATTGCAGACAATAACTTTTTTTTCCTTAGCCTTACTTATTTCAAATGGCATTCTCATCTTTTCTCTGTTGCAAGGAAAAGGAGGAAAACGATAAGAAATTGGTTTCGCATTTTGTTATCCACTTTTTTACCCTAAATGTTTATGTACTTTGTTTTTGCAGCTCAATAAAATCAATGTCAATGATAGTAGAAAATCCAATGAAGAGTATCATGAAAGGTCAATTAATTGTTGATTGAGATTCTATTTTTTGTATACATGTATTTGCTAAACGACAAAAATAAAAGGTTAAGATTAATGTTTGGTTAATCGATGAGCAGAAACAAATTGCGCTCAAAGGCTCAGTCGATTTGGTTAGATTAGTTAAGTGAAAAAAAGTGAGTCTTGAGTTGATTTCAAAGTAAAAGCTGGTTAGGTTAGGTTGGGTTAGGTTAGGTGCTCAAAAGATTTATCGGTATTGTTACAGTTTAAACTTTTGAGCAATCATGATGACCGTTGATGTAACCAGTAAAAGGTAAATCAATTTGCTGTGACTAAAATTTTAATCTTTGGTCAACTTTGAGTCAAGTTGAAATTATTAGTTGCTCATAAGTCAATTTTCAAATCATCTTTATCACCCAGCAAGTGATGATACTAATGACTTTATCAATTTTTTATCACAATGCAAAATAACCAAATGACTCAAAATTCAAGGTGAATTGTCAAGAAAAAGTAACTCAATCATCAATCACTAAGCGTTAAGGTGCAAGATTAACGGATTAGTTTTCAACCAAAATACCGTTTCGGTATTACCGAATGAATTAAAACTTTAATCAGTAATTTCCATCAGTTTCTCTTGAATCTTTTTGAATCAACAAAACTTTTCAACTTTTCTTTGCTTTGCATTTAAATCTTTTATCCAAACTGATAGTCATTTTCACGTGTAAAACAAAAGAGTTTAAAGGACTTAAGGTGAGTCCATGAAAGGGTCAGAATAAAATTTCATCTTGCACACAAATTCCGATCAGATTAACTGAAAGTTTGATAGACATTTTAAAATGTTTTGGTTTGTTTTGGCGCAAAAAAAGGTTAGTTGCTTTTTAGTCCAACTGGTTTTTGGTGAAATCACAATTGCGTGATTAAAGTTTGATAAATGAAATGATAAACTGTTGAAAGCAAGTAAAATAAGGAGGAGGTTAAAGTTATCATCTGAAATATGCCTACGAATATAATTTACTTGTTGATAGAGCAAACAATTTTTTTTCTTCTGCTTTTCTCTTGTTTTGTTTCTATTCTGATGGATTGATAATAAGAAAGAGATGAATAGATGATGATAAACAAGCTTAATTTGAGACTCAAATGATCTTTACCACGCAAAGTTAACTTTAAATCGGCTTTTCTTTTCACCAATGTTGACCTTTTGCAAAATGGATACTTTAGTTTTGCTTAATAATGATAATAAATGATAATAATATTGCATTTTGAGGTTTTGACTTGAATCAAAAGAATAGCTATTTTTACAAGAAAATCAACTATTTTTGTCTGCTTACCTTTCGAGTGTGCAAAAAGGTCAAACCTTTTAATGATACTTCAATCAAAAAGTTATCATTTTTCATGTATTCCATTTTACATTTAGATTTTTCTCTTTAAAATCAACAATCTTTCATTTCTTGTGTATTTTTTCATGTCAACATTTCATGATAACTTTTTCTCCTTCTTTTCATCCGTTTACATGAAACTTGTTCATTTAAAGATAATTTGGCTTTTGCTTGCTCTAATCATGATTTAATGTTTCAAATGATGATCTTGATTGATTTGCATAAATTGATTATCAATTTAAATATTCAAAGTGGTTTTTGGGTGAAGAAAGTTTTTGGTCTAAAATAGCGAGAAAATCGAAAAAATTGAAACAAAAATTCCACAATTGATGGAGAAATTTTGAACATTTAATTGAATCCATTTGCAAGTTGAGTTACTGATACTGAAAATATCTTTTGCTAATGGAATTGAAATTTTGAAATAAACAAAGTTTTTTCAACTTTAGTTTCGTCATTAGGAAATCAATTAGTTTCACATTGGAAAAGCTTTCAAATTAATGGAAGGTTTCATGATTGATTCAGGCTGGAAACTGAATCACCAAGAAAAGAATCTAATTGATGTACTAATAAAGGTAATTGTAATTAATCAGGAAAACCTTTTTTCATCTTCTTCTTTACACGATCAATTGAAACAACTTTGTTGGTTAAAGGCTAATTTGGTGTTGATTACATGGATAATGAGTAAAAGTGTTACATGATGGGGTGAATTGGGACGATGAATATGAATAATGAGATTGATAGCATTGAATGTGAAACATTTTAGGTTTACTTACATGCATAGTTTAAAGTTGCATTTCGACTTTGAACTTTACCAATTTCATTTCGAGCAACACACCAATAAGTTCCCGTGTCTGGATCCTTTTTATTGTGAATCACGTGAAGGAAGAAAAGTGATCCCGTTGGTAGAGCGAGTCGGTTGTGGTGAGCGCCGTTGATTGGCTTACCATCTTTGTACCATTCGATGGTTGGGTTGGGATTACCCTCGGCTCGACAGTCCAACTTGGTTGGTTCACCTCGACCTACTATTGTGTCGGAAGGATGTTCAGTGATACGAGGAGGACGAAGATGGTCCTTTGATCCTGAAGATGGAAAAGGAAAGAAAATGAAAAATTAAAAGATAAATCAACTTTGAATTTACTGTTTTGTCAACTTGGTTTTTTTAGCAAAATAAAGTTCAATGAAAGAGCGAAATTTCATGAGATCAAAATTTTGATTTTCGGCAAAAATTGGAAACATCAGAAATCAAATATTGAAAAAATCGATGTTCGTTCTTCTTTTCTTTTACTCCAAGAACTTTAACCTTTAATCACTACAATCGAATCAAACCAATAGCTTTGCCAGCCACTTTGCTCAACTTGTGTCTAGTCTCACTATTGTCGTTTACCGTTCAAACTGGTTACCAAACTTTGAGTAAAAACCTTTGAAGACTCATACAGAAGAACTTTTAACCCAACAATTCTTGATACTTAATGCGTAAAGAGATGAGTGAAGGTGAACCATGGTGCAACATAAAGTGCCGTTGAAATGGTCAACTTGTATGATAATGTTCTCGCCTTGTTAAACAAAAAGTAAACCATTTTGTTTCATCAGCTTAAGTGTTTCGGTTGAGTCAATAAAGGCTCATTAGCAATTTTGTTTGGTGCATAAATAACATGATATGAAAATGAGATAAACAGATGAGCATATTTATTGTGTTAAGCAAACGTCTTAATGTTTTTCCTTTCCTTTCTTCTTCTTCTCCTCTCTTCAAGTGATGTTTTTAATAATATAACAAAAAGAGAAAAGGTAATGGATAGAAAATCAAAAGAGGGAATAATCATCATCATTATCATGATAGGAAACGAAATAGGAAAAAGGAGTGAAGAAGAAAAGAGGGAGAGAGAAAAGAAAACGCCAAAGAAAAAAATTCTTTGCAAGAAAAAAGGTAATCGATGAAGAGTATTGATCAAAGGATGATAGTCGAAAGGCTATTGAATGAAAATGAGGAAAGAAAAAGGAAAACAGAAAACGAATTAAGATGATGATGATAGAGTGTAAGGTGGAATAACCTGAATGACTGAATGACTGGCAACTGTCAAAGGTTATTCTGTGCATGTCTATGTGAAAGGTTAATGAATAAATAAAGATGAGAGAAAAAAATGTTCTGATGTTCTTCATTTGGAAGTCACGAAAATGCATTATAAATGTACAACTTTTTCACCCTCAAATGTTGAATCTTTTGGCCACTTTTGCGCTCAATAAAGTTTACCTTTTCCAGTAAACAAGTAAAAGTGTGAAAAGTGAAGTAATTCATAATTGGATGGATCAACAGTTTCAGCAAAAGTTTCACTTTTCATGGTTTATAGATGAATGTGTGACTATCTATTATGCATAAATTAGACCATCAACTCTTTTATTCATCAACTGAATGTGGTAAACTTGTTTGATTAATCAATTGCAAATGGTTGCAAGAAATAATTCAATTAACGCTCTTCTTGCAATTTACAGAAACTCTGAATTACCATTTAGATGCTTTTTGCATGATAACTTTTACTTGAAACTTTATCAAAATTTGAAAAGCTCGTGCAATGAATTTGAATAGTTGCAAGAAAATGTTTTTTTCTCTCTTTTAATATTCGACTAGCAAATTTTTCTCAATCAATACACTTTACAACAGTTCAAAGTATTGACTTTGTCCATTTTTTTGCATCAACATTGAAATGTTTTTTTTTCTCAACTTTTTTCTTCTTCTTCCTTTCAATGTATCATCGTAATGTTATAATTTGATAAATGAATGTTATCGACTGTTTCTGTTCTTATCCTGTTTCTGTAATAGCAACTGTCCAAGAAGAAGAAGAAGAAATGGCCAAAAAAACGGAAAGACTTTACTGGGTGGCCTGATCGGTGTGAGTTTATGACCTTTATTGCATTGGGAATGGGCCTTAACAGTTGCCAACATTTTGACAGTTCAACATTTCCAAATGGCTATTGCTAATAATGGTAACTTTATGCTAATTGACATTCTTTCAACTGTTAATGGCAAACAATCTGTTTTCCTCGTCAATGAAACATTTTCACCAACATTTCGTTCTTTTTTTTAAACTCATTATTCAATTGATCTTGACAATTGAACTTTCAACTTTTCTATTTTTTATTGCTCAAGGTAACTGACTCTTGACTGGCAAACCATTCAATTTATTGCTTTTCACTATCAGTTAACGCTTTGTAAAACTTGAAATTAAAAGTGTTTCCTTCATTCAAATCATCTTTTTTATGCTTTTTTGAAATTATCTTTGAACCAAAGAAAGTCTCTTGAAGAGTTTTTTGAAAGTTATTGTAATAACTATGGAAATCGGTTGATAAGAATGGAATTGATTTAAGAGAATTAATTTTTTTGTAGAATTTCGAAGACTTTCTTGTTGTTTTGATTTGCAAGACTTGATTATCATAGTTTGTTATTCAATTTGTGTAAAGAAACTAGTTTTGATTGTAATAAATTGAGCTGAAAATTAGCGTTCAATTTCATTGCTAATTGATGTGCACTGATAGCAATGATTAATCAAGATTTTCATTAACGCCAATTATGTGATTGTATAATTGCGCTTGACTTGACTTTTGTACTTCAATAGTTTGCTTTCAAATCCGTTGAAATGATCAATCAAAGTTCTGTCTCTAAGCGTGTCAAGATTACCAATCAATTTGAATATCTTTTCCCTCTAATCTTTGCACAATATTTGCCTTTGTACTTTTCATCATAAGAAGAAGAACAACATTTCAGGGTTAAACAGTTATTTCTCGTTTTTCCATGCTTATTACAATTCAGATAGTCACGTGACTGAACCGATAATATCTTGAATACTTTTTTTTCCTGGGAAAGAAAAGAAGAGAAAAAAGAGAAAACCAAAATTGAAGCAGAAAATTTGGGTGAAAATTGGTTTGACACACTTTGGTTACAGTTGTTACAACAAAGAGTAAAATTGAAGCCCAAAGATAGGTAAAGATGATTAGCAAGATGAAGAGAAGAAGAAAAAGAGGAAAAGAAGAGAAACAAGAAGACGAATGAAAAGAAATAGTAAAAAGTAAAAGAGAAGAGGAAAAAGTCGAGGTCAAAGAGGAGTGGAAGGTGAGATTTATAGCGACAGAGGAAAGGTGGAAAGGGGTGAGAAAAAAGTCATCAAACGAGAGTTTTTATCGTCGAAATTAACTTTTTTTATGATGAAAAGAAGAAAAAAAAGTCTATTCAAGTAAGGTGATGATGATGATTGGCTCGACAAAAAGTATCACTTTTCGACTTTTTTCTTCTATTCATTGCTTCTTTTCCTCATCTTTGGTCATTCATTTTTGCTTTCATCACTTGACATCACAACTACAATATACACAGGTAAGGTAATTTAGGGAACAAGTTAAAAGAAGAAACTTTTCTTTTCTCAACTTTTCAACATCTTCTCTTTTCTTACCTTACATTCATTGTAAAGCATGATGAGTTTTACGAGTTTTCATCTCAAGGTGTTGATAATCAAAGGATGACATTAATAACCGGAAAGAGTAGGAAGATATTGGAAGAAGAAGAGAAAAGGGAAAAAGATTGATTTTAAAGGGTCATCATCAATCAAGTGATGCCCTTGCATTCAACTTTCTAGATTTACATTTTTCTCTGTTTTTTATTGCTTCTTCACTTTGCATTTCATTACATTTCAATTGTAACACGACTCATTGAATCCATTATAATGCATTATTTCCCACGATTAAACCATTTTTTGGCGATTCAGAAAAGAGAATAAAAAAGATGATGAAAATGGATGAAAAGTAAATGAATTCAATTTGATTTTATTAAGAATAGTAATGAGATAATGAGAATTGATTTTCTATCAAGAATGGAGGGAAAAAGATGAAAAGAAGAGTAAAAAATAGATGGAAAAGTGAGATTTATCTGCTTTTAATTTTTCCCTCTTTTCTCTCTCTTCATCCATGTTCATTTACCAATTGCATTTTATATATTTTAATCTCGTCACTTGTGGTTGTCATTGTTGTAATTTATTGTATCAATAATGACAATAACTGTTGCTGAATACAAAAGGAACCTCATTTTTACACAAATCAAGCATCGGTCAGCATCTTTTGGTCACTCATTCAAAAGCTGTTTATCATTTGTGTTAACTGTCTGTTTAAACTCAAGTGGATTTGCAAATGACAATCTGTTCAGTTTTTCCAGTCTCCCTTCAATTCAACTCATTTGATATTCAACAATTTTTGTATCGAAAAGAATGTCGACTGAAAAATGGATTTTACATTAGCGTTTGTTGGATTCAAAAGTGCGATTCAATTGTGAGCAGAACATTTACTTAAGCTTATGTCGAAAAGCCGATTGAGTTTGATTTCGCTTGTAAGTTTGCTTGTTGTGAATAAAGATGTTGATACTCACCTAATGTGAATAATTTAGAGTAAGTTAAAGTTGGACAATTTTTATTGTTATGAGAATAGGTAACATCACATTTGTAACTTCCTTCATCACTTAACATTAAATTTTTAATCCTTAAATAGGTTATTCCAGTTGTGCTCATATTTGAATGGTCCATTGATACTTTATCGGCTTGCTTAATCAGATGACCCAATACTTTCTCATGGCCACCCTTTGTATATGAATAAACAAGTTCCCAATCATTTGAAACATTTTTAAACCAACTTATCATTTCAATGGAACCACAATTTTTAACATCAACTTCACATGGTAAAGAAGCAATTTGATCACCAAAAGTGGCTATTTCATGGACACGAGATTCAGTTAATATAATTAAACAAGATAAAAGGAAAAGTAAATTGATTAAAGATGATAAATTCATTTCTAATTGTTGTTGTTGTTGTTTGGATGCAAATTGAAATGGAAATTGTTAAAGATGAAAATTATCGATCAATCTAAAGATGAGTTTAATGATGAGTTTACAGATGATGATGATTATAATCCTGAAAAGAGTATCAAGAAACGACGTTCAACGTCGAGTCTGAATTAACACACATTTTACACTAGAAAATGTTGATCATCATTGTTGGTCGCGATATCGATAACTAAATGATAACTAAATGTTTCCAAGACTAAGCCGGTTCTTCAAATGTTCAACATTTACTTTTACATTAAACAGCGCAATAGCATTCAACATTATATTCAATACGATTCAGTGTCGCCATCTCATTTTTCGAATTTAAACTACAATTCAATCTACAATTATGTATGGAATGAGTAAAGTTATTGTTTGAAGAACGACTCGAGAAGTTAATTTGTGATCTTTTCATCAAATTTTTCAGAAAAATTCATTATTTGTTAATCAGTTTGAATTTGAACTTTTTTGCGCTACTTTTTTACCGGTCAGGAGTTACAATTGAAACTAATGATGTTTGTTTATTTGGAAAACATGCTTTTCACGTTTTCTTGTTGATTTGATTCGTTATTTTGCTAATTTGTTGACTTTATTATTTTTGTTTTACAGTGTTTTACTCCTTCTTTCATAATGAATCGTTTTAATAGCTTCATTTCGGCTTATGGGGCTACTTTATCTACGAAAGATGTGGAAATTTTACAAGAGTTGTTTGCTTTGGATGCGTTTGCTTCTTTGCACAAATTCAATCCGTTCATTTGGGGCGAATATTATTCAACCATTCCTGATATCCGATTCACGCTGTTTAATTCTTCTGCGTTTAAATGCCTAAATCTTCTCATGTTTTGGGTCAATACAGAAAGGGTAAAATGATGAAAACATTTTTTTAAGGGAATTTCTCGTTGATTTACCTCTTGATCCATCCGTTGACTATGAAGATCGACCAGATTTATATGATCCATATCCAGTACCACTTCTTCTCAACTCTCTGCTGATTGAAATAATTGAAATTGTTGACACACCAAAAGACTCGCTGTTTTATGCAATCAAAGATTTTGTTACTGACAAACCAAAGCTGGACTCCTATCAGATTACTTTATTATTTAAAAATTTATTAACAACAAAAGGTCTGGAATGGAAAAAGTGTCAAAAATTAGTGTTCAATTTATTATCTAGATGCATAAAAAGTGATGAAGACTTTGAAATCTGTAAGACCAATGATCTTTGCCGTTACATCCTATCAATCTACTCCAGCAATTGGTGTGATCTCAACGATAAAATTTGTATTCTAAAATTTATCAAAAGCTGCATTCGCTTGCCAAAAGTGCTAAAATGTTCTTGATAGAATATGGCTTGACAGTTTGGTTGACCAATATAGTTGCTTCGCTTGATTCAAAGGATCCATCAGAACAGGATGAGCTCAAAGATTTGGTAAAAATTCTACAGAAGTCGTGCAGAAACACCGATCTTCCTAAAAATTGTTATAAACAGCAGTTAAAAATGTTAAAAGTTTGGGTTAAATTTTCAGAGAGTTCCAGTGTTACTTCCTAATGTTTTTGATTGTACTCTGATGCCTGGTGTGAGAGAAAAGATAAATTCAATAAAACTTGACTTCATATTGTCAAAATTCTTGAGCTTACTCTCTATGGCCTGAGCCTTTTCAATCTCTTCTAAACATCTATTCATAATTCTGATATAAAGTACCACCAAAAGAGAAATGATGAAAACGAGGAATAAAATGAGCAACATGGATGCATAAATAAATAGATTCCAAAGAGCTGATGAAAAAGCAAAACAAAATCAGCTTCAGTGTTTCTGAATCTGAATTACAACGATCTACTTACCGTGAATATCTCTTATTTATTGATTGGTTACGGATTCTATTAACCAATGAAAATCAAGCTTGACTCGAATCATGTAAATCTTTTGCTCTGTTTATGGATATTTAAACTAATGACTTGCTTAAAATATACAAATGTACTGAAAGAACCATAAGGCATCGCAGATTGAAACAAGATTAGTGCAGGCACTAAAAGTCATTCAGAAACTTGACCTCTAAATCCCATTTGAACGTAATTTTCTGAGAGTTTAAACTTTTTCAGATTTTTGTTGTTACAAGTTCAAACATTTCACATTGGAAAGATAAACAAACTTGTCTTGAAACCATTTGATTAACTGAACGACTGGAAACTCATCTCTTTTGGTCAGCATTAGTTAAAAACATGTAACCAACCTTGAAAGATTTTCGACCCAGAAATTGACCATCAAGTCATTCAGATGTCAAAAACGAAATGACTTTGAATGACCTTGAGCTTTCGAACTTGTAAGTGGCCTTTTGGCCTTTATTCTGTTGGTCTAGAAAACTGGCAAGACAATATATCGTTGAACTATATACTACAAATGATATCGGAAAAATATGCGTCCTATATCTAATCTTCGTAGCGAATGTCAGTTAGAAAATAAGCATAAACCCATGTATAGATTGCTATATGTTTTGTATGTTTAACATAAGATGGCAGCAAAGTTGGTGTTTCGTTTTGTTTAAAGCTCAAAGAGTAGGATAACAAGAGAGATCATGATCCAGAAAAACTTGTTGAGATTTAGCTCTTTCGGGCGACTGATGGTACTGATGATATAAAGCCAACTGTTACATAAAAAATAACTCAAATAAGCTAAAATTAAATAATACTTTAAGATGAGGCAGTCAGATCACCGAAAATACTACAGTTATTTTGTTGATTATTTTATAAATCGTTTTTATTTTATCTGTATTTGCAGGTACTTTGAAATAAATTCAAATCTTTTGTATATAACGATTTTTATCGATTGGTATTTGCCTCACGGTTTTTTATGAAGGTTTGTACTATTGAATAATTATTCGATTTTGAGCTATTTGATGTTCGTTTCTTATTTAATTTTTCATTATTAGATGAACATCGATCGCTCTGTAATCCGTGGTGATAAAGTTATGAATTTTTTCCGCGGCAATTGCCAATTGTTGGCTGTCCAGCCGAGCATCCAATCTGGCGAATATATGCAGGAATTTGCCAGACGGTTTTTCGTCAGTACGTTGCAGAATTTTGACTTTAATCAAAATTATTTTTTCGTCGCTAATGGAAAAAGATGGCTTGTTGCCTCTCTGGCTGCCGAAAGGCAATCACTATAAAATTTCTGATTTAATGCCAAAGTCTCAGGCTTCAAAAGTGGTGGAGAATCTTTTTCGCACTTTGAGTAAATCTGCTGTTCCAATAGCATCAGAATCAGAGTCTTCATCATTAAGAGTGAGTAATTTTATCTACATCTTCTTCATCATTTTAACTCATCGACTTTATCTTCATCAGCAAAAAGGTCAGTATATTTCATTCAAGTTATCTTAATACTACTTGTTGCTCAATATCTTTTCAATAATTGTTTCTATTTTATTTTTACTTGTTTTGCCATTCGGATCGTTCTCCTAACTCATGTCTGTTTCTTTTTCAAGGTCACTTTGATTTTCATTCAAGTTCTTTTCTGGAAGGGTTGGTTCTTTTGATTCAGGCATTCTTGAAAAATTATAAGAATATTGTCCTATTGAATATAGACGATCCCTTCGATATAAATTATCACTCTGATTGTAATAATTAATTCAATATACTTCAGTCATTCAATATGTTTAATTGTATTGTTGGTGTGTTTAAGCAATTAAACAGTTAAAGGGTGAACATTCACCATGAAAGCTTATTCTTGAACCTCTAGCACCACCAGGAGCGATTTCCGAAAAATGACCTTGAATGACCTCGACCTTGCAATATAGCGAACAAGTATTTAAGAAACTTCGATAAAAAGAATATCGAGTCACTAGGTCACATACGAGCTGAGTAATAGCCGATTTACATCGTATCTATCGTTGGTGTCGTCCTAGTGCTCGTCTATTTGGTCCTAAGGCAACTTCAATAATTTTTCAAAAAATTAATATTGACTACTATTGCGATTATAATATAGATGATCCTCCTGATTCTGAAAACTTTATTGTGCCCTTCATTGGTATTAACGGTGTCATCATGAAAGGTCATTTGCATGATTGAATCCATATTTTTGCATAATGGCTCCAGGAGGTCGCAAAGAAAAGCAACTACCGTACTTGAAAAGAATCAAAATTAAAAAATTGAGTAGAATGTTGATATTTGTTGAAGATATAAGCAGTTTTAAGAACGCATTAGTGCCATATGAGAGCGAAGAGAAATCTACCAATGATTCTTACCAAATCATTGACATTTCACGTCTCAACATTATTTAACCATATTATTGAGATCAACTGGCTGACCATGTACGATCTTTGTATGGTTTAAGGTTGATGATTGAGTTGTTAATGATGATCAGGGCCTATCGATGATTGAGTTGAACTTAAAATACTTCTGTCTCCTCCGAGAACTTCTGAAATGTCAGCTTGCTCGTGAAAATAAAGCTTACTTCAATCAAAGAAATCTCTTGCTTTGTTTATGTATATTTAAACTAATTACTTGTTTAAAATATACAAATGTACTGAAAGAACTTCATGATATTTGGTGATATCTTTTGTAATTCACTCTTTGGTAAAGCTAGATACCAATGCTAGAAACTAATGATCTAAAAACTGGCTACCAGAATAAACACAAAATAGTGACTGATTAACAGACAGTTCGGACTTATTACCAGGGAATAATAATAATGGGAACAAGGATATTCTAATGCATAAATCATACAAATCGTATGTATCAAATAACGAGAAGATATATGCATCGAGATTAACAGGAAGAATTACATACTAACGTATGCAATAATATAATGTTATTATTAAATAAAGGGTGTGAAGCATCAGCAGGCGAGAGAGAACTTGTTATTACGATTAGACTCCGAAGTCAGTCGATTGAGCCGCTGAGTCAGTTGATGAAGATTCGACTGAGCGCCAGTTGATTGAGGTATCGACTGAGTCGACTTAGTCGACTCTAATTTGAGACGACTAAGTCGACTCAGTTCACTCAAAATTTGAGTTTAAGCGCCAAACACGTCATTTTTTCAACAATTTTTTTTAATAAGTTTATACATGTCAACTTTGAACATGTAACGTAGATCTGCGTTGATTTTGATACTAAATAAAAAAGCTAATATATTAACTAAAAAGAAGTCGTTGAAAAAACGACTGACTTCGGAGTCTAATTACGATTTGCTTGACATGTGACCAGATCGGAAAGGATCAGTCATAGAGCAATTTATACTGATGCAATGTGATAAGAGAGCGCCCAGAACGGTGCATGCCACCGCCTTCGACAAACCCCATACCTCAGGCTTTTGGGTACAGAGTCAGACATATTAGGAGAAGGTCTATTCCTTCTTAAATAGGAGATGAGACAAATGATCTTATTTGAAGATGAATGAATGAAAACCACGAGAGTGAAAGTTTAATAAAATATTCCAAGTGACCGGTTCATCTTCATCGTCATGTTATCAGCACTTTCATCTTCATCTTAGGATAATTTCGTTCTTCTCTCCTAACATTTTGCAAGAAATGAATCTTAACATCCTTTATTTTATTGAATACATCAAGTTGCTTTATGTAAGGGTTGAGATGGCGACACTGAATCGTATTGAATGTAATGTTGAATGATATTGCGCTGTTTAATGTAAAAGTAAATGTTGAACATTTGAAGAACCGGCTTAGTCTTGGAAACATTTAGTTATCATTTAGTTATCGATATCGCGACCAACAATGATGATCAACATTTTCTAGTGTAAAATGTGTGTTAATTCAGACTCGACGTTGAACGTCGTTTCTTGATACTCTTTTCAGGATTATAATCATCATCATCTGTAAACTCATCATTAAACTCATCTTTAGATTGATCGATAATTTTCATCTTTAACAATTTCCATTTCAATTTGCATCCAAACAACAACAACAACAATTAGAAATGAATTTATCATCTTTAATCAATTTACTTTTCCTTTTATCTTGTTTAATTATATTAACTGAATCTCGTGTCCATGAAATAGCCACTTTTGGTGATCAAATTGCTTCTTTACCATGTGAAGTTGATGTTAAAAATTGTGGTTCCATTGAAATGATAAGTTGGTTTAAAAATGTTTCAAATGATTGGGAACTTGTTTATTCATATACAAAGGGTGGCCATGAGAAAGTATTGGGTCATCTGATTAAGCAAGCCGATAAAGTATCAATGGACCATTCAAATATGAGCACAACTGGAATAACCTATTTAAGGATTAAAAATTTAATGTTAAGTGATGAAGGAAGTTACAAATGTGATGTTACCTATTCTCATAACAATAAAAATTGTCCAACTTTAACTTACTCTAAATTATTCACATTAGGTGAGTAGCAATATTATACAAACAGAAACAAGCAAAACCAAACTCGACTCAATTTTCAATTCCGACAAGCAAATTCGAAGCAAATTCGCAAAAAAATTCAAAAATTTTCTTCAATCAGATCTGGTTTCATTTTCTTAACTCAATTTGTTTTGCTGACCAAATCCAGGTTCAAATGTAAAACTCGATACTTTTGGTTTATTGATCAATAAGGGTTGTTAATAGAGAGTCAATAATTGGTCAATGATTGTTAACCCAACATTATGTAAAATTGTTATTGCCTTACCAATGAAATTACTTTTATAATGTTGTTATTCAACTCAACATTACTCACTGTTGGACGAACAATCTTTTTCGTTTTCATGCTTTATTCTTTCATTATTCAGCGAATAATTGATTGGGCAGAAATTTTCATGATAAATTGATGGGCACAGCTTTCATCATGACACTGACAATGAAAGATCATGAGATTATGAATATAGACAGACGTTGAGATTAAAAAAGATAAGGGAATGAGGAAAACATATGAAAGTTGAATGAACAGAATAGAGTCGTGTTTATGTTGATGAATGAAATAAGTTGCGAGTAAAAAGTCTCGTAAAGGAAATGACAATTGATGATGAGCAAAAATGGGTAAAAGAGGAAAGAAGAAGAAGAAACAAGAAGATGAAATGATTCAAAGATGAGGAATGGAGAGAAAGAAGTGGATAAAAGTGAAAACCATAAAGAAGCCAAAAAAAAGAGTCACAAACGGACAATTGATCCATGAAATGAGTTATTGCTAATCCATAATTGTTTAACATGGAAAAAGAGAAGGAAACTTCTATTCTCATTATCAACATCAATTCTCAGTTTATCATGCATCGTGTGTCTAGTGCTGTGTAAATTGTCGTGAAGGGAGGTTTGGTTGAAAGAGAAAAGTGAATGATCGAAAAGGGAAAAACGAAAAAGTTCTGAGAGTTGAAAGAAGAAGAGAGAAAAAAAATGTTGCATTCATTTATATTCTTTGGTTTTCAATTGAAAAATAATAAATGAATGATGAGTGAACATGGTGAGAGAGTGAGAAAGAGAGAAGGTAATAATGATGATGAGAGGAAGAGTGATGAGAGAGAGAGAGAGAGAGAGAGAGAGAAGACTAGAAATCGAAATGTTTCATTTATGAATAAAATGGAATGAATAATAAAACAAATTCAGAGGAAAGTTTCTTATTTATATGTGAAGATATTTTCTTCCCTCTTTTTCTGACATTCCCTGCTGAACCTCCTTTCCTGTTTCATTGTTTTTGCCATTTCATTCACTTCATCATCATCATCATCATCAAGAAGAAGAAGAAGAAGGCGAAACAACAACAACATCATTATTCCCATCTTTGTCTTCGTTTGTCTTTTCTTCTTCTTCTCTCAAATTTCCTCCTTGACTGTTACTTTATCATCATCTGAGATTTCCAATGTTTCTTTCTGTTTGTTTTCTTTCCCCTGCATTTCCACATTGGATTTTGTCATCTTCATCTTTCCTCTTTAACTTTTCTTTCACCTTATCCTTTGAACGTTTCAATTTCTTGTTGCGATAAAAAGAATTGAACGAAGAAAAAGAAGAAGAAGAAGAAAAAAAGGAAAAAAAATTTTCATCATATTCCTTTGCCATTTGCTTGTCAACTTAATAAAAGTCATCCAAAATCATTCAAATGGTCAGTCTGAAGATGTTTGCTTTAAAATTTTCCCTTCGTTTCTCATTCACTATTAGTATATTTACTGTTATTACTTTTCTCCTTTTCATATTTTCCTATTTTCAGGTCACTAAATAAATCGTAACCAATGAATCTCATCTAATATCTTTTACCAAAATTCATTTCTTCCACTTTATCCATTGATCATACTAAATTAGTCAAGAACAAAAAAGTTGCTCCAAAAGTGAATCAAGAAAAAAGTCAATAAAGGATTCGGAGCATTTTCCGAAAAAATTTTATTCCAACATTCAACTTCTAATGTTAAAAGTTGCAACACAAAGGTTAACCAACTAAAACATTTCGTTTCAGGGAAACTCGAAAATGACCAAATTTATTCATCGAAACATCTCAATCTTTACCAAAATTCAAATTTCCATCAACTTTCCATTCCCTTTGGTTAACCTTTTTGGATCAATCAATTAGTTCATTTGAAAATGAAATTCACAAAAGATTAAACAATTTCTCGAGTCAAGCGAATTCTGCAAATCTTTTTCTCTCTAATCAACGAGAAAAATTGAAATCATTTTAAACAATGAAAATGAATTTACCATGAATCTAGCCTTTTCCTTTTGTCCTCATCCGCCTTCTTTCCATACGGAATAACATTGAATAAAGAATCTTATTCAAAGTCCTCTTCTCTCACTTTTTTTCCCTTTGATTTACTTTTTTCTTCTTCTCATCCTCTTAACTCTCTTCTTTCAAGGCTCATCTCTGGGTTATAAGGGATGAAACCTTAACGATGAATAAACTTTTATCTTCATTTTATCCAATTCAATGATCTTTTTATTCAGTAGACAAAAAAAGTACTCCAAGAGTCTATCATAATACTCGAGTTTGACTCTTTTTTTCATCTTCTCATAAAAAGAAAATCTTTTGACTCCAACTTGCATTTAAATATATTTATAACACTTATCTTTGCACCAATAATCTCACTCATTATCATTATCATCACACTCTTCATCTTCGTTAATGTCCTTCAAAGGTTAAAATCTTTCGAGTTACAATTTCGAGTTTTGTGACAAAAGTTGTGAAAATGATTCCCTTGCAATCAAGAAGCTTTGGATTTAAATTGTTTAAACTCTTCTTTCAATGAGAATATCATTTCAACAAATTCAACCAAATTATCGTTTCCATTCTAATCAATTAGCTTGACGAGTTTCCATCATTTATCAATTCGCTTTTTATTGTTATTTGAATTGATTTTCATTTTTTTCTTTCTCGATTTTCTTCCCTTTTCATTATCTATTCACCCTTTTGATATCACTCAACAATGAATGAATCATTTTCTATTAATCTCATGGTTCAACAGAAAAGAAAAATTTACGTCAAGAGAAGACTGAAAATTCCAATGTTTCATGGAATGAAGCCACTTTCTTCAATTGCAATTTATCGATAATTAATCAAATGAATAATTGGCCAAAATAGAAACAATGTTTCAAACGAAATCAACTCTTTCAAGTTCTTTACATTTCAATTTAAATCTCGTTTGATAAATAATTGAGTGAAACGACACTGAAAACTCGAGTTTACTTTCCTCTTTTGGTTAAGATAATTACATTTAAACTTGAAATTTAATGAACCAAAACATTCAACAATAAGAAGAAATCTGTTTAAAAAATCTTCATTTCACGTAATTAGAGTTTGAAACAGAAATTTCGAAAAGCAAAGTTTGCTTTGAAAATCTTAAACTCTACAGAAGTTTCAGAGATTTCTGACAATAAAAATAACAATATTGAACATCAATTTAACCGTGAGTATTTAAAGAATCGAAATAATTGTTTTCAAAATGTTTATTCAATCATGAGTTTCGATAATTTCTAGTTGATAGAATGGCAATTTTGAGCAAAAAATTCGTGTTTTGCAAATATTGAAAAGAATCGAAATGATGATTTGATTCCATCTCGATGATTCCATTTGGTTTCAATGAAATCGATCTTGTTTTTCGTGTTGATTTATTAATTGGCAGAAAAAGAATTAATACATTGAAAGGAAAACTAATCAACTAACAGTTGTTTAATCTTGTTTATTAACTTATTGTTTCAATTAAGGATGATTGAAAGATGATAAGTTGAAGGCAAAAATAAGAGAAATGCTATCAATTATCATCACTTTCAATTGAATCATTTTTTTATCAATATCAAAAGAGAAAGAGAGAAATTACATTTCAAGTTGATGTAAAAAAATGGTTCAAATATTGCAAGACAGGGAATGATGATAATGATGATAAAATAATGTTTGAGGAGAGAGACAAAGAGAAGAAGAATAATCTGAAGGAGAAACAAAAAAATGAACAATAAAAGCACAATGATGATGATGATGATGATGAAAGTGAAGAGTTTTTTGTCTATTTTTTGTGTTGCTTGGGACACACAGGGAAGGTTTAGTAAATTGATGGCATCAGTAATGGAGTTTATCGAATCAATTAATTGTTTGTTTTAATGCTGTTAGCGTAGTTCGATTGTCTTCTGCCATCTATTTTTTAAGCTTCCCTTTTTGCTCTTTTTGTTACTCTTTTTCAGCTTTCTCTCCTCATCTCATTGTCTTGCTCTCAATATTTTTTGCCCCTAAAAACAAAAAGCCAAAAGTTCTGTTACTAATGATTACACTTAGTCAAAAGTTATGCCATCCTTTTCTTGGCAACATTGAAAAGGTAATATTGAGAAGCAGCAAACCAAAGTCCCTGCCAATCTTGAACAATCGCTCCAAACGAGATCACAATTAATCGAGTCATTTCGCCATTATTATCGAAGAATATTTTTAGCCTCTATTCATGTTTTAATGAGTTGACACTAATATTGTATCTTGATCTGATATTGAATTCATTGTGTTATAAGGTAATGCAATGCATTTGGGCCAAATTTTATCAAAGGCAAGTCAATGACGAAAAATCCCCTTTTTCATAACTTTAAGAAGAATCCAATAATTTTTAGATTTTTCTGTAAAGTTGGAATTTGCTTGTCAATTTGTTTACAGTGAAGCTCATGAGACATAGCACTGAGCCGGTGAGTTTCTATCAAGAAGCTTGCTCGTCCTTTTCGGTCTGCAATCCATGCTGAGATATCGAGAGTTCAGTAAACATTTCTTCGACATTTTCAATAGCTTTTACTTTTATCTTTACTTTTTATAATTTGAAGCTGTATCTTTCTGACTCTCATAATCACATTTTGATCGTTTAAGTCTCATTTCAAAAGTTATTAGATTTGCCTTATTTAGTGATCTTAATGCTTACTACAATTGCAAACCATCACAAACAATTAAAGTTGATTTTCAATAAAAC